ACAAGTTTGTTATATGAACACGTGATGCATAATCAGGATTGTAAACTGTGTTGTCAGTTTAGTAGAAAAAGCAGTGAGTGCTGTTAAGTGAACACTTCATGTAACCTCCCCAAATTACTCTGAAGTGATTGTATTGGTCAGCAGATTTGAATAGGGTGGACTGTTGGAGAAAGGTCTGACAGAATGAATCCGAGACCACCTCTCTTGCCTGGTGCTAGAAGTTTGTTTTAAAAATCAGTTTCAAAGTTCTTGGTTCTCCATTAGGTCTATTATGTTTGTAACAGATGAGAAAATCATAGAATCATAGAATGGTTTGGGTTGGAAAGGACCTTAAAGATCATCTAGTTCCAACCCCCCCTGCCATGAGCAGTGACACCTTCCACTAGACCAGGTTGCTCAAAGCCTCATCCAGCCTGGCCTTAAATGGTTAATATCATATTATTTTTCTTTCATATCTCCTATTACCATAGTACTCTTGTCTTTATCATAGTTTTATCAAAAAAGGGTCATAATTTCACATGTTAAAATGATCCTCACAGTCCATGTGAGTAGCTGTAATGGGAATATTGCCCCGTTCATTGCATCAGCTGCCCTAATTTTCTTGGAAGTATGCATTGCTGTGTCTATTGTGTTTTGACAACATACTTTCAGTCCCACAGCTAAGTCTTAGTCTTTGCTGAATTTCCCTTTGAAATCAGGGTTTTTGCAGTTCTATGTGATGTTCCACTGTTGTCAATTCTATTAATTCTCAACCAGCAGGTTTAAAAATTTATGGGTTAATATAGTAAATATAATTTTGCAGTCTTTAAAATGTGGAATTCTTCTTAATATCTGATGTTTGTTCAGAAATTTGTTTCCATGATGAAATCGGCAGAAACCTGATTTTTCCAGCAGAATAATTAAAAAAAATTCTGTATTCAGTTTTAATGGATTATCCTTGGAAGTAAATTAAAAACAAAAACCAAAACTTGCATCACTGCTGTAATTTGGTTTTCATGTTGAAATAATAAAAAAGTATGAGTGAATAAGTATAGTTACATTTAATAATGATCCAGGGTTGATCAGTAAACTGAAAAGTTGATCATTAAACAGAAGGCAACTGCTGCAACAGTCCACCTCCCAAGAACAGCTCTAGCTCATAGCCATTTTGCATGGAAGCAGCTCAAACTCATTCACACAGCTGTGGGAATTGTCCTTCCTAAAAATCCAACAGGAGTGGGATAATTTGTTTGAGTGAGACAGATTTTGGGAGCTTTCCATGTACAGAGCTCTGCAATGCCTCTTAGGAAATTAGGATGGATCAGCCCTTACCAGAACCCTGAGGCACAAGTTCCTTTGCTCTTCCTCTTTAGCAGGAAATCTTTACCCTCTCTTTTTGAGTCTTTCTGATTGCCTTTTTTGAAATGCCTGAGTTTAGCCAGAGTCCAGGTAGTCTGCACTGCAGTTACAGTAGTGTGTACCAAGTCATCAGTGAAAAATCTGCAGCACAGTGAATGCTAGAAATTTGAGGATAATGTAATATCAATTTAATTAATATTAAAATGGAAAACCTCACAGAGGTCCACAGCATTGGTTATGTTATTCATTGCATCTAATTTTTTGAGAGCCTCTACTGTAAAAGGACATAAAATGGCAAAAACTTCTGGATTGCAGAGCATAAATGGTTTACACAATCAAGGGATTTTTTCCTTAGGATTTAGGTCCTCTTTCTTGACCAGGTAATTGTCTTCTTTATCATTTCTTACTTTACCAGCTGCTAACAGAAGAGAAATATTTAAATTGTACCACACCAAAAAATTACATTAGAAGAAGAGTTATTGGACCTAAAGGATGTGCAAATAGAAGCACTGGAAATTAGGTAGATTCTTGCATTTATGAACACAAATGCTCTTTCTTTCATTTCCTTCATTCCCAATTTCATTTGCTTTGTCGATTTAATAGCTCTCTTAATCTCAGAAAAATGCAATGTATGAAGAGACTATTCAACCTTTAGGGACTATTAAAGAAATGTATGCCTAATACCTCATGCAAAGGCAACTCCATCTCCTGACAAGATATCACCATGCATAGTAGGAAAATAAGAGGAGAAATAATATGGAAGACAAATTCCTGGCAGAACTTGCACAAGACAATCACATTTTGGCAAAGGTGAGGCTGGTTTGTTGTTTCACTGGCAGTTTGCAAGATCCAGTCCAAGCAGAGCAGGGCCCCTCTTGCAAGCTCCCCGAGTGAGAACAGCCTTCAGTAAATCCTCTAGTTCTTAGGCATCCCTCCTACTCCTTGCCTATGAGTCCATGGAGCTGAGACCACCCTGGAAACCCAGTTTGGATGCACCAGCTGAAAGCAGTCATCAAGTCACCTAAATGTGGTCTGAGGCTAACACGAAGACCTGAGGAGTCCATCCTTAATCAGCAGTGTGGAGCAGGTAAAAGAGAGGACCTGCCTCAGAGGTCTTGGACATCATTATCTGTCAATAAGCTTTCAGACCCAGAATAATAATGTGGAAATAGTATCAGTTACTGCTGAATAAGTGCACAATGGGATAAATCCAAGTGACACTCATCTTGTCCTGAAATAAGATTGCTGAGGGGGAGAAGCATAAAAAGGATGTGTATATGGGTAGAAAGAGATGGACCAGAGGAGAGTTTTAAAGGGCTCTCCTTGTAGAAAGCTGCATATGCAAGTTCAGGAAAAAAAATCAAAGAAAACATCCTCTGCTTGGTACCTGCTGTACCATGGCCAATGCAAAGCCTGTGAGAATTGGCTTAAACTCTGCTGTTAAACTTCCTGAAGGCATTAAATGCTGAATCACAAGATCCACTCAGAGTGAACCATCAGAGCAGCAGGAAGCCCTTCTATGGCTGGTGTAAAATGTATGTGATCTGAACACCTAGCCAGTGACTTCTGCATGCTAGGCTGGGCCCAGAAGAATAGATCATTATACTTTGAATTAAAAAAAACAAATGGAAAAAAGAAGAATGGAATTCAAGTGGCTAAAAATCTATGCTTTTTGTTATTAGACATACTATATATTGTTTGCAAATACTTTTTGGTAAAAGTGCTCAAGTATACTTTATCCTAACGTGCTGTGTCTTTTCTACTTTAATTTCATGCCTAAATCGATAGCTAATTATAATTTGACAAGAAAAAGAGATTGCAATGGATATGATCTACCTGCTCTGTGTTAAATTGTAATGTGGTTGGCTGGCTCTACAGTGTTTCTACAATTTGTAGAAACCATTTCCAGAGTCTACCCATTTCCAGAGTCACCATAAGAATTGGGAAATAGATTTCCGGTGAATCACTTCAACACCACACAGAATTGTCTCGAAGCCCTTTGTCTGTGACTAATGGAAGAGGGAAGGTTTTGATATATAATTGTTGACACTCATTTGTCCAAGATTTAAACAGCTTCCATCTTGGATCTTATGAATAGATGCAAATTAGGGAAACTTTATCCAGGACCATGGTCATTTAGGCAATGATTATTAAAGCAATGTATCCTTGAAGAATCTGAGAGTACAATTGCCATCAAAAATAACATCCGTGGCCTTCTCTAGGTCTATCACACAAACTCACATACCCCCCACAAATACACGCATATGAGAGAGGTTTTCTCCCCCACTGTGTGAACCTGTTTAGAAATGGACAACTGGATATGTAAAAAATTCTCTTCTTTGATTTTCGTGCTCACCAGTCATTAAAGGGTTACTTTTCAGAGCAGCACAAAAAAAGAAGAGTTGGTTGACCAAACATTTTTTTTTCTTACAAAGAAGTGTCAACCCTGAGATTGTAATTAAGAAGTTAAAATCTGTGATTTATATATATTTATATATATAAAAATAGATGATCATACTAAGACTAAAAAAGTGAAAGAAATCTCCATGTCAGTACTATATATTTGTTTGTTCCGAAATTTTGTAGAAGAAATCCTTGTGATGTTGAAATTAACTGATATGAAAGATGTAGTTAGATGTGAAACAAACTATTGATCCAGTTGCTGTTAGTCCATTAGAGAATTATTGTCTTGGTAGGATAATGAACATAGTAGCAGAAAGTCCTAATGAATGTCAGAACAGTGACAAAAGGAAAGAGATTATATCACAAGAGATTATTTTCTGTCCGAACCCTTGAAGGGAGATTTGTCAGAAGCGTTGTTTAGCATTACCACCAGGACTGATGGTGAGCTAAGTGGAAACCTGTGCCAATTGTATAACATGGATAAATACTAAAAGAGGCTAGGTGAAATCGTGCTACTACTCAATTTTTTACTGGGCATTAAGATTTAAATCCTAAACAACTGTAACATGATATTCTGAAGCTAGTGGAGTTACTATCATAGTAAAAGATAAACTCATTTTTCACCTTCTCTACCTTCATACCAATCTGACGTGGTTGGCAGATGGAGTGCAAGACATTCACCGCTGAGACATACTCTTGTGTTGGAAAAAAAAATCCAGACTTCCTCCCTATAGCAATGATCATTCTGATGACCTGAATCATCCTATGGAAGTTCGTAAAGGAAACCTGGCTGTCAGTGAAGAATGGTTGCATTTTTTTTTGTTCCTTTCTTGTCTTTTTTTGTTTTGTTGATATTCTGTTGAAATGCAGCAGCCTTGAGTCAGGCCTGATTCAGAAAGAAATCTGCTTTCTTGTTTTCTCCCCACCTTCTTTTTTCTTGTTAGGGAAAAACACACACCGTAAGATCCTTTTATTTTTGCAGCATAAAAGGAAATGAAAGTCTCCTGTTATAAAGGTTTGAGAAACAATTCTCTCAAGAATGGATATTGTCTTCAGAGATATCTGAAAAAAGGAAGCAGTTCAGTCTGGCACCTGGTACTCTTTGGGAAAACAAAAAAGGGAAGCAGGTTGCAGTACTGCCCTCTTCTCATAGAAAACTGCAAGTGTTTGTGGCATGGTCCATTGTCCAGGAGTATAAGAAAAGAAGCAACTTGTCTGTTTCTGTAGCTAAAACACAGTTTCTCTGACCAGATCCAGGATTATCTCCACTGTCTCTGCAGTACCAGACTGATGAAGACGAGGAGCAATGTCTGCAGTGACTGGCCAGGCTGCGCGGATGAAGCCTCCACCTCCCTCCTGTCAGAGTCGACCGGTGGCGCTTCAGTGGTGATGAAATCGAACTCGGTGGGACAGATGTCATCTGTACAGCCACTTCCGCTGCCTGAGCCACTGGTTTCATCACCTGGCATAAGGGAGCGAGGGGAACAACATGAGGGCCATAGGTTACAGTGTTCATCCCTTTTCTCCCACCCTGGTGGAGATTAACACCTTGGGAATGGGAAAGAGGTGGTGGTGCTAATGTTCATTCAGTAAAGCATCCAAATGAAAGCCACTGTGATTTAACTAGGGACTTAAATGCCCTTCTGAAAAAGGAGCAGACTGTTGGCACTATGGAAAGCCCTCAGTGTCTCGATGCTTTTGACATGAAGATAAGCAACAGAAACAAAAGAAACATATGTAATTGGGATTTCATGGGACAGAAAAAGACTATTTTTTATGTTGTTAGAAGCACAGAGCACAAAGACCAAGGAAAACCACTCCAGTGGAACTGATTTATAAATGTGTTCCAAAAATATACTTATTTAATGGCAATTAATGGTTTCTTACTTGTATCCTGGAAGTTGACATCATTTCCATTATATGCATTCTTCAGTTTGTTAGTCATGACACGTAAGGCCATGATTTGTTGTCGAATGAAGGTATCTGGCCTTGTGATGTCCACATCTACTTCTGGATTGTTGATCTGGTTGGTCAAGCCATCGTTCATAATCTCAGGCAAGTATCTATATAGCGGGATGAATGATTAGTTTAAAATGCAATAAGTTTCAGAAATAAAAGATAGTGCAGCAAATGTTATGCTAAGCAATTTGACACTGATAATGATTACACAGTTCTTAAACAGCTCCAGTGAAACCATTTAAAAAATATGGTTTTAATTTTACAGACTCTAAGGGCTCTTTTTAGTAGCTCAGCTGCATGGAGAGCAGAAAGGATTTAAGCTCTCCAACCTCCTAACTCTCCACATATTCCCCAGCAAGTGCACTGGCTCTGTTAACTATGGAAGGGGTTCACCAGCCAGCATGTTCAGATCCTCTACTGATATGAATGGTTGCACACTAAATTAAGCATCTAACAGCGCATTCTTCTGTTTTTATTTATTTCTGCTTAAAAATTATTATCTCTTTTGTTATATAGAGCATATTTGTTGTTCTGAGGTAGTTTAGAAGACTATCTTGAGGCATTATGGCACTTAATTTTCTTCTCCAGTTCTTCCTTGCATCCCTTTTTTGACCATTGTGAACTTCTCCAGCCTATCTGACATTCAGGCCCATAAATGGTGTTGTGAGTTTACCAGAATCCAGTATTCTCTTTGACTTGGTCCTTATTCCTTAGAAACAGGCTATACTTGCATCTGCCACTTGCTTTGTGCAAAGCACATTTAAGGTATGGCATTTCCTATCCATCCACACATCTGAGTTTTTTATTCAGGCTCTTAGCTTATCATTTCTTGATTACTGCATCTTTCCCTTCCCTTCCCTGACCTCGGCAAATGCAGTCTTAGACTACTCACAGGCAGCAAGTGTGCTTTTGCAGGTATTTCTCCCCTACGCAAACCAGCCCAAGCCTCCAATCACCCTACGGTAAAAGAATGCATCATCTTTTGTTAAATACGCACACTTTGTCACCTGCTGCTCTTTGTCCCCAGGAAACTCTCCTTGTAGGCATCTGCAAAGCTATCTTTTTTCCTGCTTTGAGTCTCTGTTAAAAATTATCTGTGCATTTTACAGCTGCTAGGCTGATAAAGGGCTGACATTATTTCTCTGTGCTGGCATGGTATCCCGAGAAAATAATGTACCACTGCTTCCCTGTTCTCTCGTCTGTCTCCATTTACCTACTGTCTTTGTCTCATATTTAGTCTGCAAGGGATTTGGGGCAGATCTACCTTTTGTTCATGTTCTTTACCATAATATGATCTATTTTGTAATTAGTTTGCATACCAGGCTTTCCAACTGATGTTTGTGGGACTCCTCATGTGGGCATGTGCTCAGCCAGTAATGATAGCACTGTCTAGCTCACTGATGGCAAACTTTAATGATGTCTGGTACCAAATATAGTTTAAGAGTTTTACTTCACTCACTTGTTCCAGCCCAATTCTCTACCAATATTCAAATTTGGCACCAGTGCCAGTGTTATATTCATATTGGTCTGGAAAATAAATGTATCCCTTAAAAAGAAATGTGAAAGTAAGGGAGAAGAAAGAACTTTCTCTGCTGAAGTCACAGTTAAGGCAAAGTAAGTTTTGTATTGCTTCTGGAGGTTCACAAAATAATGACTGCTTTGCTGCACCAAGGAAGGGTTTAGTCTCATCATAATAGGTACTTGCTTTGCAAGATGAGACTCATTTGTCATCGGTGGCCTTTGAGAGCTTACATGAGAATAATCCTGGGGGAGTGTGAACATATGAGAACAAAACATGACTGCCAAAAATACCGAGCCTCAAACTTTGAGTCCTGTTGTTTCACTAGTACCATAATGAGAAATAACAATGCTGTAGGGATCCCATCCAGACTCCTGTGGCACAGGCTTAACTATGGTAAGAATACAGAACCACCTCCTCCAGTAGGCAGGACTGCAGACCTCAGTGTTATGAATCACCAAAGATAGAAATTGGAAATAGTTCTGCAGAGCTGCCTGGAGGCAGCAGGACGGAGACCTTGGCACACAGGGAAGCTCTGGGCTGCAAAGGAACAGCACCTCCATCTGCCACATGTCTCTACAAATGAAATGGCTGCTGTAGATAAATTACTCAGCCTAGAAGTAAATCAGTGGTTTCAAGGTGCAGCTGATTAAAAAAGGTAAGAATGTAAGAATTGCCCTACCAGCTCAGAGAGGATGTCCATCTTGCCCGGTATCTTATCCATGACAATGGCCATAGCTGTTAGCAGCTAGAAGTGATTTGAAACAGCTGAGCATTCATGTGGATTGCTTTCCTTGTATATAAAGGGGTAGCTGCTGTTTATTGCAAGTCATCCATGAGAAGCTATGGCTGGCTCTGAATGGCAGTACAGGGTTTCTTTGACTGATTTATGTTTGATTTTGTGTTGTCTTATAGTCAATAATAAATGAAGAATATACTGACTTCTTAGTAAGCTTTTAATATGGAGAGAATATGAGTTAGTTTGGAGATTTAAAGCAGTTAGGGAGTGATCTGGTGTGTGCTTTTTATTGAAGTTCATATTCTGCACTGTGATCAGTATGGATCTGGTGTCCTTCTGAAGACCATTTAACTTTAAATGGGCCAGCCCATTCAGCGGTAGGAAGTGATTCAGTCAGTCTGTCACACACCCCCTAGTATCTGCCTCAGGATCTGGTGATCCCAGAAGCATTCCTGTCATGGAGGGGTTAACCTCTCAGGTGAATGGTTGAGTGCACCTCACCTAGATGTGTAAGGGAGCCATACTGGATGTGGGTCACAAGAAATCCATTACCTTATCATTGCCTGAAGGTTAAGCAGATACTTAAATTCCCAGGTGAATGAGCCTCCTGGCATTTAGGCATAAGAGCAAAAGAATTAGAGAGGCTGAGGATTTATTTTTAGGTTTATACAGATACCAGAACTCATAAATCTAAATGCAAGTCTGAATATGAGTAAAGTTCCCCTCTCAACAGATCTAGTCAACACAAGAACTAGTCAAAACCTGTCAGGATTCTATTCATCAGTAGAGCAGGGACAGCTGTTGGAATCCCATGTGCCTTTGACCAGATGACTAGTTCATTAGATTTCATCTTCTGGGAATCAGCTGTATAAACACAGACATCTGGTGCCATTTGAATGCTCTTGGTTATTCTTCCTCTTCTTGTTACTAGCCCTGAAAGGTGTGACTTTCCCATAGGTCCTGCATTGTATCTACAGGCTCGAGGTAGAGATCTTCCACATTTGGGGCATCTAAAATTATATTATGTGTCTTTCTTTAGGCAGCTGAATTGGGTGTTGAGGGCCACTTTAGCCACCCAGGGATATGCTTGATATCCTCCTGCCACTCCAGTAGGGTTTGAATATCCCATAGGTCCAGTGTCTTATTTGGCAGATCCATTAAGGTGTCTTGACTATTCCAACCATCTCACACATCAGTAGATAAGTGTGTTTAGGCAGTTGAAAACTGCTTCATTGACTACACCTACAGGATATTGGGGCTCTCTTCAGGTACTTTAACGTTGGTGATTTCTAAAGTGCTCTAGCAGTTCTTGCCGAGGCTCAGGTCCTCCACTACAGGGAGGTAGTGTCCTGTGTCATAATCATCTCAGACATGCCGCAGAGTCTCAAATGACTCTACTCTCGCTTGGGCAACAGAAATCACTATTGTCTCACCTACAGGCATCTATATTCAAATGCATGAATTTACATGTCTGAATGTGAAGCTGGATTCTGCCCTCATTACTGAACTAGTTCACTTGCTTCCTCAGGGGGGAAAAAAAAGGTAGAAAAGCCTATATTGAATGTAAATATCTTTGAATTGTTTTCCTTTCTTGAAAGGACTGGTACAGATATAGGAACACGCAGCCCAAGGTGTTTCGTGAGTGACAGCCTCTCAGAAGCAGCCCGGCACATGTTCTGACAACAGCATTTTGATGTGTGTGGGGTAGGGTTAAGTCACACTGAATAGGAAGCCATGTCTTGGGACCACTTTTTGACAGAAGATTTGTTGCTGGCTGGGCAAAGTTGTTCGACACAGCTGCTTTTGCTGCAGTTCTGTAAGTGGAGACACTCCTGTGAATTTTAAGCTTTGCTGCTGCTTCTGCTCTTGTTAATGATCTCTTTGTACGCCTGGCCGTTACAAGAACTGTATGCCCATTATAAATGAAAAGAAGAGATGTGCCAGCCTGAATCAGTGTCTGTTCTTTGCATCCTCCTAGCAAAACAAAAAATCGGCTTTCTTAGCCCTCTGAGTATAGAGAAGCTGAACAATACTGTTTGTTTTCTGTTGTTTGCTCCTTGCTCAGCTATGTCAGGATTTTAGTATAATTTACATTGTTTTCTAAAATATTAATGCTTTCTGTTCCTCTTAGCCTTTCCACAGTTCTTGCTTGTCTCAGCAGACAAAACAAAGATGTCTTTTGGCACATCATAGCCAAGCACCACAAAGTCTATTTAGAACCTTTTTTTTTTTTTTTTTTAATATCCAGTTAATGTTCCAGGGTGTCTGCTTCCTTTGATGACTGATGAATCTTTCAGATCATTTATATAAAAGCTGTAGCTACGAAAAACAACAAAAAGGGAGGAATCTTCTAGTTTTGAAAAGCAATCTCCCTGAAAGGGCAGAGTTCTCCATATTTTGCTGCCACAGCAGCTGCTTACAGTATGACTGGAGCATCCCACCTAGGCAGTGCTGGAGCTTTTCCAGGTGCACAGAATTGTAGGCAACAGAGTACAAAATACAGCATAAGCTTACTCAGGCTGGGCTGGGGGTAGCCAGTCACATCTGGTCCAGAAAGATAAGTGCAGTGGAAAATTGGCTTGTTTGGCTAACTAGATCACCTCATCTGATTCTGTTTGCTCAGGAGGTAATCACCATAGGATATTTTCAGTTTGGTTGGGTTTGTTGGTTTTTTTTTTTTTTCTTCCTCCATCTTGGAGAAAAGCTTGAGGAGACAGAAGGAGAGGTAGAAAATGGCTCATCTACCAGTTTGTTGTAAGGAAGAAGCTGAAAAAATAAACTGGAGACATCAATTAAGAATAGGCACTTTTTGCACATACCATGAAGCGGTTTATTCACACTTTCAACTAGTGGTGCTAAATGGTTATCTTTGCCTACCTCCAGGTAAAGGACATTTAACTAAGTCTCATTGCAAATGTTGCTGATCAGCAATGAGTAACTTTCCTAAGGCAGGCACTGATCTGTTGAGTCTTTCTTCCCACCTGAATTTCACCAGGAGTTAAAGGCTCTTTGCTCGGAAAGTAGGCATTCGCCTACCTATGGCAGGAGAAGAAGAAAATTTTAGGCCAGCTGAGACTCTATGCTGTGTTCATTTTGGTGAAATACCTTGTAGTTTTGAGCTAGACATTGAAAATTATAGTGTCCATTTTTCCTTTTATTCCTTATCTTTCTCTATTTCTTTTTTTTTTTGTACTCAGAGGAATGATAGTTTCCTCATGGAAAAGAATGGAGGTCTCATCTCTTCCACAGATTACAGCCTTCCAGAGCTAATATGTATTAGTAGGTCTATAGTCCTGGTGAACACGAGCACCAGGAGAATAGTGCATGAGCACAATGTCTCACATGGGTGGGTTGAAAAGTGTCAGCAGAGTCATTTGGAACAATTTGGGGTTCTTCTGGCCACCAGAGTGGTTGCAGAGTTCTACTGTTTTCACTTCAGTAAAAGTCACTTATTTAAGGGCTAATACCTTGGATCTGGTTGAAGTCATAAAGCCTGAATTTCACCATTCTTGGGAAAATTCCTTAATTTCTGGAGAATATCTGTTAGTGAAGACGTTATCAGCTGTTGTTAATAATTAATCTGCATATGGGGAAGGAACTAAACTTTTAAAGTTTGGTCTTAATGGTGTTTCTTAGATCCTAAATATCTTTAAAAAATCTGTCTCTGTGCATCTGGCAGAAGACATACAATTATTTTCAAGTTCTTTTGTGAATACAGGTATGATGGGGAAGTCCTGTTGGGCTTCTCTCTAAAAGGGACTTTGTCTGAACTAGTTATTATTATTTTTTTTTTAAAGAGATTAATCCACCTAATAAATCTTTTCCCATTTCCACAGTACTTGGTTTCTACCTGATGTGGCCTGATTAAAACCATTCTTCGTACAGGATCAGCAATGAGCCAAGTGCACCCTTCCAGAACGCCAAATGGATGACTCTATTACCCCATGATTATTTGCAAATTGTCGACCTTCATTTGGCAACCTGGTGTCACTGTAAATTAATCATGGTAGCAAAGTGTTATCTGGGGAGCATAATAACCACAAGTGACCTTGGTGTGATGCCTCTCTCAGGAGAAAGCCTAGCTTTCATTTTCTGTTATCTCAGGTTTGTAACTCTTTTCCCCTGTAAAAGCAGCATCAAAAGGTGATGTGTAAAATGAAACATGAGGCTTAATGTCTATACAGCAATTCAGTTTCTAATTCTTTATACCACCACAGGATCTGATAAAAAACTTGTAAACATGTCCTTTCCCAACAGTAACCAATGCCATGTTGTCTTCTTACTTGTAGTAGGAAAACAGGAGGTTGCTAAATTTCATTTTTTCTACCATGGGCTGTTGTCATATTCTCTGGAATTCAAAATGCAGTTCATATGGCACAGGGGTTCTTATCATGGATGACACAGTGAACACAAATTGATGTTTGCATATTGGCCAGATTTTGTCACCCTTATTCTTGCAAACTAGTGTTTCATATCAGGAACTAATCAGTATGATCAAGGAAGCACTTATGGTTTTTCTTTATGCTGCAGTAAATGTCCTTGTTCACCAGTCAAGAGATGATTTTGCATCTAAAGCTAGTTATTTTCAATATTATTTTCAATATTATTTCATATACAGGTCATGACATTCTATGGTATCTCTCTGATTTATTACTGTTCTCTACACTTGAAGCATTTATTGAATTCTGTTATTAAGACTATGACTATACATTTCTTCAGTGAATGGATATGAAATAGAAACTGGACAGAGGAGCAGTGGCTGGGCTTGCTGAAACCGTATTTTCAGGTGATGCTTTGAAGCTGTGATTCCACATCCAGTGAAATGTGTGTGTTAAATTAATCAAGGAGATTATCAGCAAAGGGTAGCTTTTCTCAATGGCTCCAGAACATTAATCTCAGAAGACATAATGAAAATAACCAGGCTTCTCATAAGATAAATGCTGCAAAAGGAAGGTGAAAAATCACATGCATAAAACGCAAGTCCATAACTCCCAACAAATGTGGAAGTTGTGCCAGATCCTTCAGTACAGGAGCAGAAAAGAGCTGAAAAGTATCAGCTAGATGTGGCACAAACACTAGCACTGGCCATGGAAAACAGGAGGTATATCAGCAGGTTTGTTTGACTGCTCTTTTGTAGAGAGAGCAGCATATATCTGTTATTAATGCATGCATCCTGGTGTGACACATGGCATCCAGCTGGGAGGCCTGGAAACTCCATTTAACCACTGCAGCACACCGGCATGGGGTCGTAACTTACAAAGCTCAACCAACAGATATTATAGAAGAAGATAAAACCACATTTTTATTTCTCTCTTCACACTGTTCCTTTGTGATGAGTCCTCTAATAGCCAGATGCTTCTCCTAGCTGTCTTTCTCAGAGTCCCCAGGGCTTTCTCTGGATCTGGGGCTTAGGAACTGAGCAGTGAGTGACCTGTGCTTGTGGACAGATTTGTTCATGTGTGTCTCAAAGTGGGTTCAATGGACTAGTAGTACCACAAACAGCCCTCTGCTCTTGTCTGTAAAATAAATTATTTGGAGCATTATGCAGTAAGGCTAGGGTGTGGGTTCAGTGCAAAACTTCCCCCTGTAAAGTGTTATAAAAATGATTATAAGATGGGGTCAGTCCAAGCTATCTATGTATCTGTCTGTCAATCCATCCTTCCATGAAAAATGGCTTTGAACAGGTTTGTTAATTTTTTCATGGTGTCTTATTTTCACTGAGATTTTATATTTGATGTGCCTGCCTCATTTTTTTTGTTGATTTTTTTTGTTGTTGTTATTGGTTCATTTTTGTATTTTGGCTTCATTTGTATCATCAGGTAAAAGGAAAATAAAAATTCCAGTCTCTGAGTGCCAGAAAGGATCACTGCTCTCCAGCTTCAGGGCTCACCAGACACTCAAATATTTCCACTCCTCCTGTCTCTCCAAAAGCACAAGCTATTGCTGCAGAACTGAAACCTGACTGCCCCTGGCATGGTCCTTGAGCCAATTCCTCTCTCTCTTTCTCAGCAGGGATAATCAGATCCTCTCCTCTGTCAGCCGATGAATCCACACTGGGACCTGTGGAGACACCTGTTCATCTGCCAGCTCCAGCCCTGCCACAGCCAGAGCCAAGCAAACTTCAAAATTAAAACTCAGAGAAAACTCATCACAAACAAGGGCAGATGACCACGGTATCTCTGATGAAGTAACATAAGGTCAAGCCTTCTACACAAGATAAGTAGGAGCGTTCCATTTATTCTCCACTGGCTATTTTGTAGGGTTCCCCCCCCCACCACCCCAGCAAATAGCCCTAAGCTTTGCCAGCCAATAGCGAATAGAGCTGAAATTCCAATTTCTGTTTCATCCCAGTATGATATCCCGAGAGTGCAATTGCTTCACAAGCTGTCAGTCCCAAAACAGGGATGCTAAATGGAGCTAAAGAGCTCTTTGAAATTTTGGTATGAATTATCCTTCTGGAGCTGAACCAATGCACATTTCCTGTGTTCACATGCTGACACGCTGTGCACATTTACCCTGACTCACACTCCGCCTTTAATGGCACCTTAATAATAAGTAATCTTGACTACAAGCTGCGTATGGACAATTACTTGTTCTCCCTATTTCCATTTCACTCTTATACACAGTGTTGCAAGATGACCTCAGTTTCATGGTTACTTCAGGCTGGATGGGGATTTGGACCTAGTGTGGTGGAGAGGGGTCCACCTCACCTCGCCTTGGTGTGGCCATTCCAGCAGTCCTCCTCGATTGATGGACCAGCCGTCACTCGCTCATCCTTGCAGATTGTGTAGGGTAATGTTGACCAGAACTTTTTAGAGAGCTTTAGCTTTTCTTTAATGTCTGTTACCTGATTAAGAGACAGTGAGAGGGAAAACAGGTCAAAAACATCAGTCACGCTATCATGTTAAATAATAGATTGTTTATTACTGCAATGACGGTGATGGTGAAGGTTAAAAGGGCTGAATGTTCTAAAACTTAAATTCCTGTGTTTACAAGCAAGGCACTCAGAATTTGGGTTCAGAGATTATAAATAATCAGTCACCTTTTTCCACAGGCAAGACATTAATAAAAAGCTTGTTACTTCTTGCTTTTTTTAGTCTCCATTTGTCTAAGGTTTCCTAAATATACATCTTTCTAAGAGTTAATATGCCTCACAGTCTGCTGAATGTAAACTCAGTTAAACAGTGTACATCAGATAAAATGTCTCACCCACCAAGTTGGTCATGCCTTAGATAAATATTATATTTAGAGCTACATGTGCAGTTTTTTTTTTTTTAAAAGATAAATGATGCAGTGCTCAGCTGATGTTGAACTGATTTAAGATACACAGGCTGAATACATTGCAGTACATTTGGATCTCAGTAACAGCGAGCAGTTTGTGAGTATACATGCATGTAGATAACATCTTTGCTGTTAGGTGTAGATAAGTAACTGTAGATGGATACAGGCTTCACATTCAAGAAATGTTGGGACAGTATCAAAACAGTTTCTTTACATTATAAACTCCTTGAACAATAATTTAATTTAGTGTGATTCACGCAGCAAGCAGGAACAAACTGTTTTCCAGCATCAACTTAGTAAGTAAATGGTTAAAATGTTATCAGTTCTTGTTTTGTGTTTGGTTTACTAGAGTGTAAAAATCTACAAGAATAGATAGAAAACAGAACAAAGGACAGACTACAAAGGATGAATGGTGCCACTGTTGTTCTTATGGAAACAGATGCATTTCACATTAAGTTGTAATAGGATTTAGGGAAGCTTGTTGAAGAGCTTTCAAAAGAAATCGCAGAGCTTTATTCTTTAAAAAAACCAAGAAATAAAAGCTCTCCATTCTTCCATTCAGATTTGAGATTGGCTTTTAGGTTGTTGAAGTACAATATTGTACTTGGCTATTTATCTCTTTTATCTTTTGTTCTGAAGACATGATAGCTCTCCGAGCAAATGGCCCACGTTATTTTGCCGTGCTTAAACTCTGTGGAATGTCACTTTATAAGCCAGGAGATAGAAACAGCCAAGGATGTTATTTCAGAAGCACCATCTGCATTTTCATCTGTAAGAAATAAGTAGGACAGTATTTGACTGAATGAGTTGTTGACAGTGTTTCTTGCCATGATAGACAACTTGGAAATCTCCTCCACACCCCTTGCTAAGCCCTAGTTTCTTTGTTTTCATACAAGATACTAGCAGCTGTTGCAGGCCTTTCAAGTCTCAATAGGGGAGCCCTGTCAAGCCCAAAATTACATTTCAGTTTACAGACCACGGGCAAGCCTTCAGCAGAAGTGAGGATGGTCTCAGCATGCCTGCCCTTTCTGATGTCTTTGGCCCATGGGTTCAGGGTCTTTGGGCAGACAGCAGCCTCTCCTCATCCCCTTCTGTCCACCCTGGGGGTAAAAACCCTGGTGTCCATAATGGTACAGCTAACCAGCACAAGCAACTCAGTTAAACTGCCCAGTGTTCACAGAGAGGTATGTAAACTCCTGTTAGGCCACCATACAGTAAATCAGATAGAGAAATCCTATAGAAAATGTAAAGGGGAGGGCTTATGGGGAGGAGGGTCCATTCATACAAGCTTGGGGAACACGTGAGTCAAAGGGACAGATTTTCTTGTTTATTCCTTGTGCCTGGATAACTATCCACAGAAGCAAACTGACTTGTATCGGTGATAAGCAATTAGTTTTCAGAGTAGTAAGGTCGTTGTTATCTGGAAAATATTTTAAGCCATTCAAAGCTCAGATGTTCAGAATTATATTCAGATCTCTACCATAGTCAAATTACAGTTGGTGCTTGAGCACTGCAGACTTCTATTTTGAACCACAAATGAGTCAACACTCCTTGTAAGGTGTAGAAGTCAGCAAAAGAATGGAGTGAGGTTTTCACAGCTCACGCACTGCACAGGCTCTCCAGATATTCCCCTGAAAATCAAAATGAGGGCTTCCATTCTCCAGTCACTTCTGGAGATATTAAATGATATTTACATACTCTACATAGGTACTGTGTATAGACATCAAATACTTATATTTCCTGACAATAAAGTGGCTTGTTGTTTGTTTGGTTTTTTTTTGTATTTCAGAAGTGCACCTGGTAAAGTAAGATGGTCTTACTTTACCTAAGATTGTTGGTAAATGGCAGCTAATTAAATCTCTCAGACATCCCCCTGAGGTGTCATTCCCATTTTAGAGCCTGATGGGGAGGGAGACATTTACGTAACTCACAAAAAGCAGCAATAGCAAAAATGAATTCAGCTTAGGGTGAGGTTGCCATTTGCAGCCCTCTCTAGATGCCTCCAATTCAGGCGCAATTTAACACTTTTTATCTCTCTCAGATATTTCCCTTTACAGCTACCCTCCTCTTCCCATTACATTATTTCACCATCCACCTTTAAACAACTTGGGGGCCTGGCCTGTGAATTCTTCTTTTTCCTGCTGTGTGACTGAACCTCTGTTAACTCCCTCGGCTTTTGGCAGTGGAGTTTACATGGCTACCTAAACAGTTCCTTGAACCTTGCCCTGGAACTGGTCTTCTTGAAGTGCAGCTTGGTTTTTGATGGCCTTGAAAGAGGAATCATGAACACTGATCAATTCACCTCCTCTTTCAGGGAGTAGCCTGATGGCCACGTTCACTTCTGCATGATGAATGTTTGGGTGGGTGATGACTTTGGAGTACTTTTAATGTAACTTCAAATGCAGAATAGAATTAGGTGATGTAATGCCTGCCATGACGTGTAAAACTTTTCCTGTGGATTTCGGTGGCTTCAGTTCTGAGATGTCCTCAAGCATGATGACAGAAAATCTCTTATTAGTCCCCATGGTTATGTGTGTTCCTCTGTACTTTGTTTTGATGACCTCCAGCATTTAAAAAAATATGTAACAGATGTACAGTCCCTTGAAAATGAGGAAAAAGCCACTAAGGATCCAGTTAACATTGCTTGCTTGTGATTTATGAAGTCAGACTACTGTAACCCCCTAGGGACCTGTGGCCTTGTAAATGATTCCTTGGTATTTCCTATTCTTTGAATTAAAGATTAACTTCCAAGCTCGATTAGACTTCTGTGGAAACATTTAAACATGAGACATAGGCGATTTTGTTATTTTACATATTTCCTTTGCACTTTCTCTAGAAGAGATTTATTCGGATTAAGACAGTTGGATCTCTTTGGCCGTAGTGAGCCTGACTTTCCCTAGCTGTCTTCCTGACCTAGCCCTGGTATTATATTGAACTACCTTTTTTCAGCTGCTTTGAAAGTACTAAATTTGTTTTGAATTGCAATACTTTCTCTCTCATAAGAAAAAGGATATTGCAAAAGGTTACATTTTTAATTTATTGGAGAATATATAGAAGTAGCTATTAAAATAACCTGACCTTCATCTATAATTGCTAACAGAAGAAAGGCATTACTGTGTAGGTGAGAAAAGTTAAATATTTGCATCATTTTTGAAGAGAAATTCATAACCAGGGATATGGAAATGGTATAGTTACATGCTGTACATTGAGAAATACAGTTCATTTCTTATTTCTGCCACTGACTTCTTATGTGACCGAGGCAGTCATGTACGTCATGCAATTCCTCAGCAGAACTTGGAACAGCATCCATGAGCTCAGTTCCAGTCCTACCAGCATGGGCTCAGTTATAAGCAGGTAAATCAAGCTGACCAGTGTTTCTGTCTTCTTTACTCACCTTGCACTCTAAAGTAATGAAAGGAGCTAAAAAGCAAGCCCATCATTTTAGCAGGAATCAGACTTTCACATTCCTTGTTTTAATTTAGGACATCTGGATAAATTGAAAGACTCACCAGGATAGTTCAAAGAAGCATCGAAAACACCATGCAAAACTAAAAGTGAGATGACTACATTTTATAAGGTGTGAAAGATCCCAGAAAGATACCTGCTTGTGAAGTGGGCAGACAATTACCCACGGAATCCACTTTGGTTTAATATCTGATGGAAATACACTTCTTTGGCAGGGAGATAATGTATGCTTAGAAGCTATGGGGGGCCAAAAAAGCAAATTTTAAGGATGGGGGCCCTAAAAAAAATTTTAAAAAGTAAATTCCCCGTTTTCCTCCTCCTCCCCTGCCAAGTCCATCTCATAGTCCTTCCAGATTTATCATCCCCACCAATATAATCCCTACTCTCGCAGATAGAGGAATATCAAAAGATGCTAAAACAGTGTTCAAAGATGCATCCAAAACTGACCCAGGTTCAGTGCAGTAAATGAAATAAAATAATATGGATTCTTGATCGGGTTAAGAAGAAATGAATCTTATTAATCTTCTTTTCTTCTTCTTCCTGATGTTTTCTCATCACATTTTTTTCTTGTTTATTCTGCAATTTGGGAAGATTTTCCTTTTGAAATGCAAGCAGAATATTCAGCTTGCCTTTCTGTCCATACCTTCTCCCTGGCGATCGTCAGAAACACCTCAATGCACAGTCCCATTGAGAGTTAAGCCTCTACACCCTGGAAAAATGTACAAATGTTTCTGGCTGCTCACAGGATGTTTCTTCTCTGATGTACCAGGGTGCCACTCTGATGATGGACTGTTGGTTGGCATGTGGTGGCATAGCCATGTGGATGCTTGTGATGAGGCGCTGTAATTTCAAGGACTTCAGGCCAAGTATCTAAGGTGCATCCTACCGTTGTGCCACACTAACAGAATAGCTACAGACAGCAAGTAGAGAGAGGCCTGGGGTTTTTTCTTCGAGAAAATACGTGAAAGTAGCCATCACAAACCACATCACATACTCCTTTGCCCTTTAATTCACAAGCAACATTTAACTAATGCCACTTCTTCATGCCACATTATTTCCAGGTGAAAAACCAGACAGCTTTCTGCTGCCTGCTGCTTGCTT